AAGGGCCTACAGTGGGTGTTATGTCTACTGGACCTGTCACAAGGGCCTACAATGGCTGTTGTGTCCAGAAGATCTGTCACAGGGGTTAACGGTATATACGGGGCTACTGTGTCTACTAGAGCTGCCACACGGGTCTACAGTGGTTGTTGTGTCCACTAGATCTGTCACAAGGGCCTACAGTGGGTGTTATGTCTACTGGACCTGTCACAAGGGCCTACAGTGGATGTTATGTCTACTGGACCTGTCACAAGGGCCTACAGTGGGTGTTATGTCTACTGGACCTGTCACAAGGGCCTACAGTGGGTGTTATGTCTACTGGACCTGTCACAAGGGCCTACAGTGGATGTTATGTCTACTGGACCTGTCACAAGGGCCTACAGTGGGTGTTATGTCTACTGGACCTGTCACAAGGGCCTACAGTGGGTGTTATGTCTACTGGACCTGTCACAAGGGCCTAGAGTGGATGTTATGTCTACTGGACCTGTCACAAGGGCCTACAGTTGATGTTATGTCTACTGGACCTGTCACAAGGGCCTACAGTGGATGTTATGTCTACTGGACCTGTCACAAGGGCCTACAGTGGATGGTATGTCTACTGGACTTGTCACAAGGGCCTACAGTGGATGTTATGTCTACTGGACCTGTCACAAGGGCCTACAGTGGGTGTTATGTCTACTGGACCTGTCACAAGGGCCTACAGTGGGTGTTATGTCTACTTGATCTGTCACAAGGGCCTACAGTGGGTGTTATGTCTACTGGACCTGTCACAAGGGCCTACAGTGGATGTTATGTCTACTGGACCTGTCACAAGGGCCTACAGTGGGTGTTATGTCTACTGGACCTGTCACAAGGGCCTACAGTGGGTGTTATGTCTACTGGACCTGTCACAAGGGCCTACAGTGGATGTTATGTCTACTGGACCTGTCACAAGGGCCTACAGTGGGTGTTATGTCTACTGGACCTGTCACAAGGGCCTACAGTGGGTGTTATGTCTACTGGACCTGTCACAAGGGCCTACAGTGGATGTTATGTCTACTGGACCTGTCAAAAGGGCCTACAGTGGGTGTTATGTCTACTTGACCTGTCACAAGGGCCTACAGTGGGTGTTATGTCTACTGGACCTGTCACAAGGGCCTACAGTGGGTGTTATGTCTACTGGACCTGTCACAAGGGCCTACAGTGGGTGTTATGTCTACTGGACCTGTCACAAGGGCCTACAGTGGGTGTTATGTCTACTTGATCTGTCACAAGGGCCTACAGTGTGTGTTATGTCTACTGGACCTGTCACAAGGGCCTACAGTGGGTGTTATGTCTACTGGACCTGTCACAAGGGCCTACAGTGGGTGTTATGTCTACTGGACCTGTCACAAGGGCCTACAGTGGGTGTTATGTCTACTGGACCTGTCACAAGGGCCTACAGTGGATGTTATGTCTACTGGACCTGTCACAAGGGCCTACAGTGGGTGTTATGTCTACTGGACCTGTCACAAGGGCCTACAGTGGGTGTTATGTCTACTGGACCTGTCACAAGGGCCTACAGTGGGTGTTATGTCTACTGGACCTGTCACAAGGGCCTACAGTGGGTGTTATGTCTACTGGACCTGTCACAAGGGCCTACAGTGGGTGTTATGTCTACTGGACCTGTCACAAGGGCCTACAGTGGCTGTTATGTCTACTGGACCTGTCACAAGGGCCTACAGCGGATGTTATGTCTACTGGACCTGTCACAAGGGCCTACAGTGGGTGTTATGTCTACGGGACCTGTCACAAGGGCCTACAGTGGGTGTTATGTCTACTGGACCTGACACAAGGGCCTACAGTGGGTGTTATGTCTACTGGACCTGTCACAAGGGCCTACAGTGGGTGTTATGTCTACTGGACCTGTCACAAGGGCCTACAGTGGGTGTTATGTCTACTGGACCTGTCACAAGGGCCTACAGTGGGTGTTATGTCTACTGGATCTGTCACTAGGGCCTACAGTGGGTGGTATGTCTACTTGATCTGTCACAAGGGCCTACAGTGGGTGTTATGTCTACTGGACCTGTCACAAGGGCCTACAGTGGGTGTTATGTCTACTGGACCTGTCACAAGGGCCTACAGTGGATGTTATGTCTACTGGACCTGTCACAAGGGCCTACAGTGGGTGTTATGTCTACTTGATCTGTCACAAGGGCCTACAGTGGCTGTTATGTCTACTGGACCTGTCACAAGGGCCTACAGTGGGTGTTATGTCTACTGGACCTGTCACAAGGGCCTACAGTGGATGTTATGTCTACTGGACCTGTCACAAGGGCCTACAGTGGATGTTATGTCTACTGGACCTGTCACAAGGGCCTACATTGTCTACGGGGTGCTACAGTCATGAACACCTGGAATGTTCACAATTTAATTATTTTTTAACACTATCGCACAGTTGACGCTTTTATTTACATGTATATATTATGATGTGCTTTTGAAAGATATATTTACATCGTCTCAAAATTTGTATTATTCCACTAATCTGACTGTGAAGCAAGTTGGACTGACAGTCACATAAAATAAAAAAGATCCGAATAAACCTGTGTCCCATCCTTCGGTGTGTGCAATTCTGAGATCATCATCGTGATATCAATCAATAATTATCCCAAAACGGTATTTAACAATCTTGACTTAACCACAGCGACATTGATTTGTTTTAGATAGCATTTTGCATGTTTCAAACAAAATTATACAAAATCAAGAATGGCTTCACACATTGGGGAAACGAACCCGGAATTACCCCAAACGGTATTAAACCATCTTGGCTTAACCACAGCGTCATTGATTTGTTTTAGATAGCATTGTGCATGTTTCAAACAAAATTATACAAAATCAAGAATGGCTTCACACTTTTGGGAACCGAACCCGGATCTACGGTGAGACGAGCGAACACGTTAACCCTTACGCCACCCCACCATCCCGACTGAGCTAACAGTACTGCATTAAATCTTCAATCAGTATAGCAAATAAACATGATTCCAACCCACAAACGAAGGGTGATTATACCAGGTTATGTCAGTGAATGGAATGACATAATCAGCAAATTAATCACCAGTGTTAACTTCTGTCACAAAGGCCGGTATCGTGCAGTTCGGAAGATTCTTCAATATCCAAATGTTTGCTCACGGAAAACTATAACAAAGACGTGCAAACATAACAAAATCATTCTGTCAAAGTCATAAATGCACTTCGCTCTTTTAGTGTCGTTTTTTACGTTTCACGCGGAGTGTTTCCTACCGAATAACTGACCTTGTATCACAATGGGCGCCATTCATAACTCTACTTGGCTCCGTTTTGAGTTACAACAATTCGGTTAATAACAAGACATATCCATTTATTTGCCATGGATAAATCGTGTATATGTTAATGTTTTTGAATGCATATGTACTTGGGTGTCTATAACACATGACTTACTACGTGTAAAGTCTGTTATGCCATATCACCCCCTAGGACGTCTACTTCATGATGTTATAACGAGGGTTAACAACCGGTACAACGAAACTAGTTCCCTGCCTTCCGTATGATCAGAGTGAGTGAGTGAGTGAGTGAGTGAGTGCGTGCGTGCGTGAGTGAGTGAGTGAGTGAGTGAGTGAGTGAGTGGGTGAGTGAGTGAGCGAGTGAGGGAGGGAGGGAGTGAGTGAGTGAGGGAGGGAGTGAGTGAGGGAGGGAGGGAGGGTCTACGCCGCTTTTAGAAATGTTCCCGCAAATCACGGCGGGGACAGCTGAAATAGCCTTCACACAATCTGGGGAATCCCGTGTGATTAGAAATGCATTAAATTTTGTCATTGCTCCTGACAACAATCTACTTCCGATATAACAAAACCAATTCTTATACCGTAGAAATTATTTTCATTCATTTGTTATTACCTTTGGCATCAGTGAGCGAGTAAGAATGGTTTTCACGCCGCTTTCAGCAATATTCCAGGAATATAACGGCGGGGGAAACCAGATATGGCTTCACACATTGTAACCATGTCGGGAATCGAGCCCGGGTCTTCGGCGTGACGAGCGAACGCTTAAACCACTAGGCTACCCGACCTTTGGCAATAACAAACTACGGATATGACGAAGGTTGATCCTGTAGGAACTATAATAAATGTCATAGTTCTAGTCAATAACGAACTACGAATATGACGAAGGCTTATCCTGTAGGAACTATCATAAATGTCATTGTTCTAGTCAGTAACGAACTACGGATATGACGAAGGCTTATCCTATAGGAACCATCATAAATGTCATTGTTCTAGTCAATAACGAACTACGGATATGACGAAGGCTTATCCTGTAGGAACTATCATAAATGTCATTGTTCTAGTAAGTAACGAACTACGGATATGACGAAGGCTTATCCTATAGGAACCATCATAAATGTCATTGTTCTAGTCAATAACGAACTACGGATATGACGAAGGCTTATCCTGTTGGAACTATAATAAATGTCATTGTTCTAGTCAATAACGAACTACGGATATGACGAAGGCTTATCCTGTTGGAACCATCATAAATGTCATTGTTCTAGCCAATAACAAACTACGGATATGACGAAGGCTTATCCTGTAGGAACTATCATAAATGTCATTGTTCTAGTCAATAACGAACTACGGATATGACGAAGGCTTATACTGTTGGAACTATCATAAATGTCATTGTTCTAGTCAATAATGAACTACGGATATGACGAAGGCTTATACTGTAGGAACTATCATAAATGTAATTGTTCTAGTCAATAATGAACTTCGGATATAACGAAGGCTTATACTGTAGGAACTATCATAAATGTCATTGTTCTAGTCAATAATGAACTTTCGATATAATGAACTGGCTCTGAGGGTCGTTGGACTTCGTTTTGAACTCAAACAATCGGGTAAAGTTAAGGTTGACGTCAGCCTCGCTGTCCCAGACACTTTACATTTGATTTTGAAAATCCTTTGGGGTCCGATATCCTGATGTTAAAATGCAAGAATAGACGAAATAACAAAAAGCATGTTTAAGATTTTTTATTGTTATCTTGTTGACGTATCTAGCACAACTAGGTGCATAAATAACACGGGACAGAGATTGTAGTATTTACAACATCTCTTTAAATAAATATATCTTTGGCTTATACAGCAATACGATTTACACATATGTACACAGAGATTTGCATACGAGATCAGATGATTGATGAAAACTGTACAAACTGTATGTAGCGGGTCGAGGACACGAGAACATATTACATCAATAGATCCCCGACACGAGGACACTGTAGACGCCGGTGTTACGTCATGCCGTTGACAGCGACCACGTATCACATCATCATAATTATGCCCTAAACAGGGTGATTATGCGCCTTATAACGGGAAGGTGGGAATAGTCAGGGGCAGGTTTGCAACGCAAAAAGTCCATATCACTTTTTAAATTCTCAATAACATTTGAAACTAGGTTTACTCTAAAACGTCAATTTTAACGCTTGGACTGACGGTGGGTTAAAATGATACAGGCAGTTTGCAGAGCGTAAACTAGACGGGTGACGAAACTTGCTATACTGGCATTCAGTCTAAGTTTGCTGGACAAGTCTGAGGAACGGAGGACGTGTTTGAGTAAGGGAGTAGAGACTGAGGTGTGAAAGCAGCAGCTGGGATGGCGTCGGCGTGGTTTGTGGCACAGATGGGGAGAGATGTCCGGAGGTGGGCGTCCCAGGTATTTACCAGGATCTCGCCGCAGTTTGATTACTGCTTAAGGTACTACTTTGTCTTCGCTATAGCGCTACAGCAGATGGATTAGTGGCAATCCAAGCAAGCTGACCATCTCTGGACTGTCCAATGTCCACACCGTGACACTCCGAATGCCTTTGTCACAAGCACGTTTCCAATTTGAGCTTTAATATCACTGTTGTTATTTGTCAAGAGGAATACCATTGTCCTCACTCGGCCCCTACACAACTGGCATGAAGGTATTATCTTCACAGGGGATTCAGTCCATGGATGGACATGTTGACCTGTACAAGACGAGGGTGCACGGACATTGCACATTCTGTGATGGTCAGTGAACAAAGATATACGCCAAAAGAAACTTTTTCAAATTAAAGCATATTTTTTAAGTACATGTGACCTGAGGTGTTCACTAACCGGCCCCACCCCATAAGATGCTGCGTGGGAGAAAAATCAGAAGGTTCGACGAACAAAACAATAGGGAGAAACAGCATAAACACAAAGTAGCACCATTCGAACCATTGGAAGCGTTTGTCAAGGAGTGAAATAGGGCGAGAAAATAGGGGTTGGGGGGGCGTACTGGCCTGACAGGGGTAAGAGCTAACTTGATCATGGTCTACAGGTTGCTATGGTGATGGATGACAACAATGGGTGATAGGATGAAGATAACAATGACATCAGATGGTGAAGCTTTCATAATCTCACGAGATATACAGTCATAGCTCGCTCGCATCGCTCATCAGAGTGGGTGAGTGAGTATGGTTTTACGCCGCTTCAAGCAATATTCCAGCAATATCACGGCGGGGGACACCAAGAATAGGCTTCACATATTGTACCCATGTGGGGAATCGAACCCGGGTTGTCGGCGTAACGAGCGAACGCTTCAACCACTGGGCTACCCCACCGCCCATCCGAGTGGGTAGCTCTCATTGACTTGGGTTAGTGAGCTACATTACTTTATAGGATATAATACTCATGATATTGATTTAAATTTGGAATCAAATGCAGTTGACCGTGTCACATGTATGACGTGAGCTGAGACCGGCTCCACAGATATTATGACCACGTGATCATCACGTGGTGCACTGCGGACCTGTCGCTCAGTCACGTGATGTAATGGGAAAGGGCGACGTTACAGTAGATGCTATGTTGTTCGAGTTGTCTACATTACATATCTATACAGTGGTGTTGTAGTCTGGATAACTGGTATATATCTACATGCGACAGTGGACACTGATCACGTGACTTAACAGCGTCTGATTTAGCCCATTGCTACATTCACTAGGCGAGTCTGAACGCCTGCTTCCCGAGTCTACGTGGTTCAAATAGTCTGGGATTGCGACGACACTGGCAGACGCTACCAAAATTCCCTGATTATGACGTCACCGAAATGTGTGTCCGTTTTCTTATCGCACTGCTGTCGTCACTGAAATGTGTGTCCGTACTTCTATCACACTGTTGACGTCACGTAGACACGATTGTGACGTCACGTACACACGATGACAATTGTGACGTCACGAAGACACGATGACGATTGTGACGTCACGTAGATACGATGACGAATGTGACGTCATGGGACACCAACAAGATTGGTTCTCACTATATGCAAGGCAGGAAAGACCACGTGGATCCTAGTGATGCTGTTGCTAGGTTACGTTGCCATGGACGCTTGTGGTTGTGGTTTCAAGACGACTGTCGTTCCAGTCGTGGACGAAATTGCACTACTCATCCGGTTCTTTTGCAGCTATCCCAACTGCCCTAGCCCAACAATAGCGGAGCTGATGGGGCCCCGCATTGCGTGCTAACATTCGCACTTCCGGTAACCGCAGTGAAGCGGGTTTTCCGGTAAGGTATTCTTGCCGTGAAATCTAGACACTTTGGCTATAATATCAACTTCGCCTCCTTCGATTCAAAAATCCTTTTATTTTCCAATGTTTTGGTGGTGTTGGAGTCAAATTTATTACCAAAAAGTGAAAACACTTTTCTTTTCTCCGGTTTCTTCTGGCATAGCCTTTTAACCGCTTTCCGTTTTCTCGAAACCCAATGTACCATTCTTCGTTTGCCTTGGACCTGAGCTCTGTGTAGTTGTCCGAGCGTTCTACTTGCGTGAACAAACATTGCGGTTTCTGTGTATGCTGAAAAATAAAAAACAAAAACTTACTACACAGTAATACATAGGAACACAAAAATACGTTATAAGTTAAGACTTCTGTACCATCATCAATTTCAATGGAGTTAAACAGGGCTTCGTTTCTAAAAACGATACAAACACGACAGCTATAGTTCTCACTCATTGGTTTACGTTAGTCGTATTAATTTCGCTTTTTTAATTGTTTCTGTTTATAATAAAACAATTTATGATCATGACACAGCACGCGGATGAGATGGATTTTTTCCATAGACACAATTTCCCTATTGCTTTGATCATTTCCCTGTTGCTTTGATCATTTCCCTACTGCTTTGATAATTTCCCTATTGCGTTTATAATTGCAAAGAACGATGTTATGAAATTTTCAACACATGCTTTTCCAGTTCAGGGAACCAAATTCGAGCATAGATGGAGACACACCCGCGGGTTTGAGAAACTCCCAGGGGCCACTTTGTAGAGACATACCCACAATGAGGTCAACAGTATAAAGACGCATCTGAGATGGGGACCAAAGGGTGGAGACACACCTGAAATTGGGACCAAGGGATAGAAACACACCTGAAATGGGGACCAAGGGATAGAGACACACCTGAAATGGGGACCAAGGGATAGAGACACACCTGAAATGGGGACCAAGGGATAGAAACACACCTGACATGGGGACCAAAGGGTAGAGACACACCTGACATGGGGACCAAAGGGTAGAGACACAAATGACATGGGACCAAGGGATAGAAACACACCTGACATGGGGACCAAAGGGTAGAGACAATCGAGACTGGGTCACCAGATGTGTGGACTGTGGGTGAGACACACCCGACAAGTGGGTGTCAGAGGGGGGAATTCGGGTGTAATCCGCCAGAAAGTGTCCAAACAAGGTGCGTAAATCATCACAAAGGGCACATGTCGACCAAACAATCTTGTTTATACCCGGTAAATGTATCATTGCTCCTTGTATGAATGTGATGCGATCCCTTTATCCAGAATTAGCTGCAACGAGGAAACCTGTGACAGCCGGGGCCTTTCCTCCGCATCACGGGGTGTTTTGACGGTGTCCCCTTTCAGCAAAGGTCCCGTCACCCCAAAGACTCGATACACGTGTCGTCAGAGTGTGGCCCCTGTACGCCCTACCCAACCACAATATGTACACACCATGTTGACACAGACACATGCTTGTTTTATAAACCTCATAAGAGTTTTAATAAGTGGGTGCCTCGTAGGAAAATCTATGTGAATACGAGTTGATATCGTGGATCACGGGGATCCCTTTTGATAAGGGATCAAACGGTCGGGCAAGGCTACAGTTTCATATGGGCAATTATATCAGAATATGAAACGCCGTTAGTATCAGAAACAAATGATCCAGTTTTCATTTATTAACAATCTTGTATAGTAGATAAGAGGCAATTTAGACATTATAAGATAACCCTATCTTGAACTAAGAGCTCGTAAACCCCAGCCCATGCCCCTTCGAAGCGGGTTATGCTGGGGACGGGGCTATGTCGCCAGCTGGAGGACTATATTAGAAGCTGTGAATGAACGAGCGTCGCAGCGTGTGTGTATGTCAATACTCTATAACAACTACTTCTAGCCTGCAAGTCTTATCGCATAACGTACAGAGTTTGGGGCATGTGTGGGGACAGGCAACGAACGGTCTCCCTGCTCTCTACTCCTTCCTGGCAACTTCAAACAAGCCTTAGTGCATTGCATTAATTAGGGTCAACACACTGATATGGAGTGAACCAAAATGCACGCTCTCAATATCCTCTCCCCCACGAGGTGACTAGATTTTGATGAATTGGCCAATACTGTAGAAACCGGTATAAAAAGAAAAGTATTTTTCAAACAACCGATCTGTTTTACCTCTCGTAAATGGTATTTATTTGAAGGTGTTTTTTTTCTGAAAGTTTATTACAACTTGCGTTAGTCCGTGTACTGTGAAACCTCGTTAATCCGACTTTACCGTTTCAAATTAAATCGTCCGGATAAAATGGGTTTCCGGATTAACGAGGTTTCACTGTATATCTGTTATATTTTTCACGTGAGACAGCAGGCATGTATGCTTAAGAAAGTTTAGTTCACCTATGTCATTCATTAGATGTTTTGGTGTGGTGCCAGATGGAGGCGGGTGGAGGCGGGTGGATGTGGGTGGGGTGGGATGGTTGTAGTGACTGTTCATAATAACACATACCACCAACTCTGTAAACATAACGGTCGTATTATGTGACGTCGCAGCCAGGAATTCTTCCCTTTCTGCTTGCGGGACACTGAGAAACGAGCCATAAAGCCCTTTCATAGAAACTGCAGGAAATGCCCTCCTGTTTCAAAGGCTGTATATACACTGCAAAGCGGCCATGTCTGGGCATACGGCCAGGGTTAAACCACGTGTCCCAGTTTGTTACCAGCCCTGAGTATAGACCCTGCAGATGTGCCAGAACTTCTGCCGAACATTCAACCCCGCATAAAACAAACTCGGATTTGTCGAAGTTGAAGTTGTCGTGGATAAAATTCCAGAGTTCGTTACATCCAGGGTGATTGCACAACAGGAGAGTTCTCTGTCGTATTCACTACCTACATCTTCATGTTCCTCAGTTCAAGAACACGAATTATCCTGAAAATTCCTTTCAGATCAGTGATGTCAGAGACGACGAAATGATTGAGTTAATGTCTTACTCCTCAGAAGATGGTAGATGGGTGATTGATTGATTGATTGATTGATTGGTTTGTTGTTTAACGCCGCACTCAGCAATATTCCAGCTATATGACGGTTGTCTGGAAACAATCGAGTCTGGACCAGACAATCCAGTGATTGATATCATGTGCATCGATCCACGCAATTGGGATCGATGACATGCATCAACCAAGTCAGCGAGCCTGACCACCCGATCCCGTTAGTCGCCTTAGTGAACAGGAAGTCAATAATTGCTCGTGCCGCGAATTTTATATAGTCACTGACCAAAAGTCCAAGAATGAAGAATGGATTTGACACATACAGAATGCAGTGACGATTCGAACCAGGATCTTTGGCGTAACGAACAAAAGCAGTTCCCAGTGTAGCACTTTGGTGTAGATTTCGGGATGTGTCAAAAGAAAACCTCTTCAATCACCCGAAGTGATATGTCGAAGTTATCGGCCTTTATCGACAGAAAGAATGTGAGGTATCTCTGTGAGGTGACATATTTGTCTGTATGGTAGCATCACATTCCGGGTGTGAGTCACGGCCCCCATCTCTACGGGATGAAGACTCGGCGTCAGAGGAGGAGCTGCGGTACAGACGAACGGTCCGTAATCCCTGCCTCCAGGCGTTCCACTGACGATTACGTGCACACATCAGAAAAACACATGAATGGAGAATGTAAACTGATTGTCTGCAAATAGGGAAGAGTTATGCTGTCTATTTAGGTGATGTAGATATGAAGTTCATTACTAGGATCCCGTGCCCCGCAGGTAGATGGCGCTGCGATAGAAAGAGAACCGGATACCCTGTGTCATATACATGTATCACTATATCTATATTTGTCTACGAGCGGGTAGAGAGTTTTACACCATCTAGCTCTCAGCCTTATGAGTAGCCTAGTGGCCTGGTGGTTAAAGCGTTCGCTCGTCACGCCGAGACCGGGTTCGATTCCCATCATGGGTACAATGTGTGAAGACCATTTCTGGTGTCCCCCGCCGTGATATTGCTGGAATATTGCCAAAAGCGGCGCAAACAAATACTCACTGACTCACTATGTCTAGCGGATTCAATATCTGGGTGAGTGAGTGAGTTGGGTTTAACAGCGCTCTGAAGTGGTGAGGTGAAATGGGGTTAACGTCGCGTCTGAGATTATGGCACGTGCATGTTCGTGTGTGTGTTTGTGTGGCTGCTTGTACTAGTTCGGACTGATGCCGATTTATAGTGCTAGATACCACGCCGCAGTTTAACATGAATACCCCACTCAGACACTGTATACTGACTCCGAGCTGACCAGTCCTTGTTTTAGCCCCTTAATGCCGAGCGCCAGACAGGGTAACAACAAGTACGATCTTTTAACGTCTTTTGGTATGACGCGGCCGGGCGCTCTGAAGTCATTGCGGTTGTATCACTTGGCGTTATGGTGCAGGTTTCCATCTTCCTTAAGCAAGGGTCTTTTAGCCTATGTCAAAGCCGAGTTAAAACTCCTATAGTTCAGGAAAGTCGCATGAAAGTCGTAACGCTAAGATACGTTCTTGCTTCGGGGACAGTGACACTGTGACCGCTTGAAGGACGTGTGAAACACCACGAGCATATTGCATACAAGGTAATATAATTAGTTCAGATGTAATGTTTTCCTGTTGTGTTTTATCATGAAAACAAAAAAGGGGTCACGTCGTGTCCAGTTTTGCAGAACCCGTTGAGATTCCTGGTCAGAATTGGTCCCATGCTCGTCATGGGACGCGACATAACTGATCGAGCGGTCAGAAACTGTAACTTGGCTGATGGGGTGTCATCGTACCCCGACGGCGTGGATTATTACTCTTTATACCAATCATTGGATATTCAGCTCCAGGCTTGATTATTTACAGACCGCCGCCATATAGCTGTAATATTGCTGAGAGCGGCGTTCAACACCCAGCAAACACACACGCACACTGAGTCTCTAGTTTGCAGACAACCAGTTCATATGAGTGTGCAGTGTGTCTTGCTGAACGCTGACAGTAGTTAGTTGGCCAACATCACAGCCGAGACCTTGACGCCGTCTGCCGCAGCCAACACAGGGTAATTTGAATCACGCCAATCCTCTGGAGTTTGTGCGGTGACAAACTGACGCCGACAAGCAAGAGCTACCTGATTATAGGTGCTGTGACGGTGTAGTTGTTGCAATCGGCTCCCCGGGGGTCGAGTCGTCACAAGTTAGACATCCATCGACCACCCTGCATTTTCCTCTCACCCAAGCGAGGTCGACATGCCTGGTGCATCTCGTGTCACAGTTGTTCCCACAAACATCACAATAGACAATCGCGATGTTCAGTAACATCATGTCCGTCTGTTTTCGTTAACCGTTCATCACTTTTGCCTTACTTTTTGTCACAAATGGCATGCCGAGCATCCACGACATTAACATTGAAAAATACTCTTCCCTGTGCCTAAGTGCACATAATTTTACAGCACCCTCGTTTTCGTTACCAAGGCGGTAAATTCTCAAGGACGGCTCGGGTAAGAAGTGTGACATAGCAGTGGTCACTAATTCGGTTGTTTACATGACATGCAATTTAATTAATGCATGACACATTCCGCAACGGTCCCGCCAGCCATCAAGCTGTCACTGTGACGTCACATAAGCCCCACGTGGGGACCTTGTCACGTGGAGAGGGTGAAGCGTTTTCTGTGATGTAGATGCTCCGCCGGCGACCGGATTCAGGAATCGGAGCATGTCTGGCGTACAGGTTTATTCACCGGCAACATTTTTCGCCTTCGTGTTTAATTAATTCTACGCTTTTGGGGGATATATCATCGCTTTCCCTGTAGGTACACGTCATCACGTACATCAAACACTGTAACAGGACATTAGACATTCAGGATTGTCTGAAACATGGTACTATTATCAGAAGTGTCAACCAGGAGCGAAATGTAATAGTCATGAATTTATCCCGCCTACGTTGACGACACGCCTTCCCATGTATGATGCCCACTCCCCCCCCCCCCCCCTACTGGACATTTGGTCAAGCAGAGACACACCGGGTGGGGGTAGTAGTACCAAAGGGATGTATGATGGCCCACTATTGGCCGTGAGGTCAAGCAATGACCCACTGTAATGATCCCGGGGGAGGGTTTGTTAGTACCCTAGGGATCAGTTGGGTACAATGTCTGATGAACTTCGGTGGCAGAACAGCGAAGACGAGCAGTTCAAAACATACTCTGGATCGAAGAATCGGAACTGGCTTCTCTGGACCAAGACCCCGTCACGCTAAGCGGTCTCAGCTCTACGACTGTCGAAAGTCTCTGATACAGTAGAGGAGCTACGGTCGTTGAGCGTTAAAGTTACGCTGTGTAACGGTGCCTTGCCTGATTATGCAGGGATTTATCACAGATTCCACACCAAGTGCCATTGGCTGGTAATTCTGAGGAATTGGGAAATGTTTAATCCAAATTAATCTTCTTGGGTCATTTGCTGACCAAGGACCGAATATCGGCCTCTTAGCAGGTCACCATAAATCCTGACTGTGCCTAGATTGTAGCGTGTGTGAGTTGTGATGTCACCACTACCAGCATCAGGACAACCTGGGGCACCAAGACCATTGTAACCACGTAGGGATTCGAACTTAAGCATGATGAGCAAACGCCTTCACAACTAGACTACCACAGCGTCCAAGCGGACCGGTGACGTAAATGTGCAGCATCGTTACCGCCCAAAATCCCCTTTCGCTTAATGCATGGTGTATCGTACCCGGTACATCGTTAACAGGCCGTTGCAACATATATGCCATGGCTACCTGCAGCGCTAAAGAACAATCACCTGCTGAGACCCACACCTGAATGAACTGTTCACATTGTGTATCGCATAACCGGCAAATATTGAAATGCTTAACAACGTTCGTATTTCAAGGAATGGGCAATGATCAAAGAATAAAATCATCTTTCATGACCACAAACATACTTCAAATATCGACTTCTAAGAAGCACATTCGTGACTATATCATTTGTATGGAATGTGACAGGCAAATAGATATACATAGTTTAAACAATTCCCAACATTTTATCTTTCTTTTATCAATCCCATGACAGTTTAATCCGGAAATCTGGGGCTAGGAAATATGTGTACAGGATTGCCTCGTCATGAGCTACCAGTGCACAGTTGTGGAATGAGGGGCGGTGGGGTAGTCTCGTGGTTAAAGCGTTTGCTCGTCAGGCCGACGACCTGGGTTCGATTCCCCACATGGGTACAATGTGTGAAGCCCATTTCTGGTGTCCCCCGTCGTGAATGTGCTTGAATATTGCTAAAGGCGGTGTAAAACCACACTCATTCACTCAATTGTGGAATGTTTCGACAGCCTATAGTTCCGATAATTATCTTGATGATCCCTGATCTTAACTACCTGATTCAGAAATAGAAATACCACATTTCTCTCAGTGTATGTCTCTTTTTAACTGTATCCTTTCCAGTTCACAACCCAACACTATAACAATGTACTTACCCGTAGTATAAGTTTTCCTCTTTTATTAAAACAGATGTATTTCTTCGTCTGAGGGCTCTTGATATAGATATCACCTCCGGCTCGAGACTCGAATATCAAGTGGGCTGTAAATAAAATTCGAATAATCATTAAAAACATACTCAAACGTAGAATGCAACAAGAAAAATCGGCTTTTGCTGAGGGAATCACGTAGTCTTTTCTTGGGTAAGGTTCCTGCACTGAAAGGGTTAATCCCCCGGACATACACGACTTTACACGAGTCTTGCATGGCGATGTGATCGTGTTCCAAGGTTCAGGAGTATGGATAGGATAACTGCTGGCATGTAACGTATGACATTGGGTTAGTGGAACGGTATAGGATGTAGGCGAGGGGTACGGGCAAAGCACCTTGGGGTCAAGCTAGGGGAACAACTTATGGGGAATTCGCATGCACACTTTCAGATCGGCCACGGGAACTTGCAGGAAGACGTGAGCGGAGAATGCCCAACTACGCTCGATAGCGTCTAGCGTGCTCAAGGAACGAAAGCAGACACCGGTTCACAGTGACACAATGACTCGGTTGGCGATATTTAAACTGCGTTGACATTTCTTACCGCTATGTACACAGCGTTGCCGTAATGAACGAAGAATGAATTTGACCTGATTTCATAAAAAAAACTTAACAATACAAGCCGATAGCTAAAAAGTATTAGAAGTTTACATTGTGCAAGATATGTTCACGTAATATGGCGAAATGTTCACTTTTAATTTGGTCCACGGCAAGGTTATGTGCTTACACCTGATGGTAACATCTATGTGTAGGGGACGCGAGAGGCAAGCCTGTATACGTTGGTGTACACTGACGATCGGATGTCACACCTGCATGTTGTAGATGGTATGACGTAAGCCTCCATGGAGGTAGATGCACTCGATCCATACATTACACCGGTACATGCTTCATGATCACTGGATCAGGTGAGTGTCACTGGATACATTGCCGTTAATCACACTCAGATTTAAAGACGGGCTTCGCGATAGGACAAAAGCTGGTTTCATTTCCGATTAATGCATAACAAGTGGAAGTGGTCGTGTGGATGTTACAAGGGGGCAAGGATTTTAGGGATATACCTGGGAGTGTGGGAAGGGTTCGTTCCTGCGAATTGGCTGGGATACCTCATTGGATAAAAGGGTGAGACGTACATGAGTGGTTGGATTGGTACTTTCAGGAATAAATGACGCTTGAATGTTTGCTACTACCACCAAGATCTGCACCCCGTGGGGTACTTCCAGGACCTGAATAGTATCGGGCACAACATTAGGGGACCCGTGAAGATCCGGGATAGAATAGGTCTTCAGCAACCCATGCTTTGCGTAAAAGGCGACTATGCTTGTTGTAAAAAGCGACTAACGGGATCGGGTGGTCAGGCTCGCTGACTTGGTTCATGCATGTCATCGATCCCAATTGCGTGGATCGATGCTCATGATATTAGTCACTGGATTGTCTGGTCCAGACTCGATTATTTACAGACCGCCGTCATATAGCTGGAATATTGCTTAGTGCGGCGTAAAACAACAAACAAACAAACCTTGTCACGGAATGGAATCAAGGATGAGGAAGGTCAGAATAATTTCATCAGTTTATCGATCTAAGTTCTAATGTATGCCATATGGTTCCCTTAAATGACCTTGACCTAATTGCCGCTATGATTGTCCTTGACCTCAGTTTCCGTTATGACAGTATGACCCGACTGAGCAACTAGCCCAGTGATCACTGTCCGATACCCATATATCCGTGACCTCAGACACATCAATCTAGGGTTAAACATCTCCTAAGCCGCATCTCTTTAGCAGGTCACACACGGATTTCGAAACAACGACCATGACGAGACGGGCTTAACCGTCCGTACGACGACAAGAAAGGCCTACATTCCAGAAAACGTGTGTTTGTCTAGTCATGTATGTAGACTGTTGAAAGTGTGCTGTGGCTTTCAGAGATAGGACCTTGGCGACATTGACGTTACAACACGCGTGCGTACAGCAGGAGTCTTACAGCAATATCGCGGTGGCTGTAGTCATCAATATTACAATTATATCACGGCGGCTTCTAGTCAGCACGATCTCAAGGCTGTCTGTAGTCATCAATATTACAGTTATATCACGGCGGCTTCTAGTCAGCAACATTAGAGCCATGTTCAGGCGGCCTTTAGTCAGCAATATTATAGTTATATCACAACAGCTTCTAGTCAGCAACATCAGAGCATCTCAAGGCGTACTGTAGTCAGCAATATTATAGTTATATCACAACAGCTTCTAGTCAGCAACATCAGAGCCATGTCCAGGCGGCTTTCTAGTCAGCAATAGTACAGGAATACCGATGAATTGTTACAGCTTGTGGTCACCGGTCTCTACCATCCAAGAACGAGTAGCCAGCCATACTCAGCTTCCAAAGTGGCCATCCGGTTTTCATTTCCGTCGTCTTCAACGACAAGCACAAGGAACTTGGGATCGTTTCCAAAAGGGGCTCGCACGTTTGGAAATATGCGTTGGATTACAAATACCAAACCGGGATGGTAACCATTAATCTGGCGTGTTTACATTATGCAGTGTCGAATAACCGGACCGACCTATCCGCGCCTGTTCTATACAAATATAGACATGGGACACTTGATCAGGAACATAAATTAAGCGACATACACACATTCTCCGGCTACGAAGACCCCTGACTTGCAGTTCATAAACAAACCTGTCGATGTCAAGCACACGTTCATTTCAAGGTTGTCAATCAAAAGGTTCAACGACTGTAGCGTTTGCAGTGTCCCAAGTTTGAAAATATTTAAACTGTAATTAATATGTAAATGGTCGGTCGTAAATAAATAATCAAACTCCGCCACCGTTTACAAAGTATGACTGTCGCCGTGCACCTGGAATCGGGGAACAATGTCGTCAACATTCTGCTTTGGGTCCGGCGTCGCAAGTCAGTGATAAACATTTCCTTCTTAATGAAGAATACTGTTTTCTTGGGTAGTATTTAGCTGATCGAGGTCGTGACCAGGTAGGGATGGGTAGGGGTGCATTTGGGTTGGGGTGGGTATTGGTGATGGGGTGGGCGGTGGGGTGTGGTCATGAGTATGGGGTACAGGGCGGTCAGACAATAGCACGTGAAAAATCATTGCTCCGGACTCTGTCAAGCCCGCGTCTGGAGGTTTACTGTTGGGTGTGTCTTTAATTAGTTAAATGGACACTAGTTAATCAGGACATTCGTTAATACGGACGATATTATTGAGAAACAAACAGTCTGGATTAAAGAGGTTTTACACTATATGAACAAGGAGACAAGGTTTTCGATTTTGTAGCTTCGTGAATGCCGGACAGATAGAGAATCAAATTGTCTTATTTTCGGTTAGATAGGAATAATGGTAAATATGTGATAATGTGGATTCAATACTAGATTATCAGGTGATTATGACACAATATCCCGTCAGACCCACCACGACATACCAGACATGTTGAGGTGAGTACATATAGGGCAGAAAGATGAATAATGTGGCAACTTTACATTTTTTCATATAGAACATATCGCAGGACCATTACGGCATGTTCTCGACATATTTCACAGTGATATAGGAGACGGCTTAACGGGCAAGTTAACGACCGAGATCCATGCATTCCTTCTGACTGTGAGACGGGCAACATTTAGGCCAGTCGGAGTTTAAGCCAGGTAAGATAAACAAATACAACCGCATAGGTAGCGTCTAATTGACAGGTATATCATATGGTTATCATATCTATTGTTATCAGGTTAAGCTCGGATCATGTATATTACAGCCATTCAATTGTCAAATGACAGACGCTACATCTCTCCACTCACACTGCACACACACGCACGCACGAACGCACGCACGCACGCACGCACGCACACGCACATGTAAGGCCGCAATACATTCGTGTGTGTAACAACATGGGTTATAACCATCGCTAGGTGGAACAGTGGTAGGGTGGGGTGCTTTTTGGGGTGGGGATGGGGATGGGGATGGGGATGGGGATGGGTGTGTTACAGGAATCGTATGATGCCGAAGCACGTTGGGTATGAGTGAGTGAGTGAGTATGGTTTTACACCGCTTTCAGCAATATTCCAGCAATACCCGGGAAACACCAGAAACAAACTTTACACATTGTACCCATGTTTGGTTTCGAACCCGGGTCTTCGGCCTGACGAGCTAGCGCTTTAACCACTAGGCTACCCCACCGCCTATGTGGGTATGATGGTACACAAGCTCAGCCAGCCGATATACGTCAATTCGATTTTCGGAGAATGTTATCGGTTTGATGCCAGAAGCTAGTAACATCTTGTTACAAATGCCAAAACCAAGATACATTCACCTTTTCAGGTTTTAGGGTGAGTGAGTTGGTTTAACGCCTCTTTGAACAGCATTTCAGTCATATCACGGGAAGATAGCCACTTTAGGCATTCACCACTTTCATGCTGACAAACCCAGTAACATAATCATGGCATTCACACAGGTTCCTGGCACGCCAAAGGGAAGCAACTCTGCACAGCGGTCGTTTCGGACTAAACTAGGCAACACTTCAGCAGATATATCGAATAAAATGAACGTAGGCTCAGAAAGATGAATAAACTTACTTGTAATACTCTTTTGTCGCCCTCCCTTGGCAAGAATCTGGATCCGATTGCCCTTTTTTTTGGCACGTGTCCTTTTAATCTGGACGTATCCTTTGCTACACCTGTTGTACAGCTGATACTCCAGGCTGTGAGTCTCGCTGCCGGGGTTCTGCGCTACCTGCCTATCTATTTTGAAGAATTCCTGTTTGGTGTTTGAGGAACCATGAACCTGCAAGACAAAATCGATCTCACAGCAACATAGAATATATTTACAGGCGGTGCCTGTTCAGCAGGTATAGTGAGTGGGTATGGTTTTACGCCGCTTTTAGCAATATTCCAGCAATATCACGGCGGGGGACACCACAAATGGGCTTCACACATTGTACCCGTGTCGGGAATCGAACCCGGGTCTTCGGCGTGACGAGCGAACGCTTTAACCACTGGGCTACCCGACCGCCCCTTATCTGTTGTAAAGGAAATTGACGATACAGTGTGTCGTCTAGATGTCGGTTAAGTTAATGTATTCTCTCAGAAGAGTATCTTCTCATTTAGCCATCACCTTCAAAAAATAATTGCATCAGTTATGAAAGTTAACGGTATCGATAGGTAGAAAACCTTTGTGGGTGAAACAGTTTCTGATTGCTTAGCCAATATGATAAAATAATTTTGTTTATAAGTGGCATATATGAGTAACCTCTTTTTGCCGATCACCACGGTCTCTAAACAAAGGTTATAGGTTGGCAAGAATTCGTTTTTGATGGGGAGAACGTTCAAATTGTTAAACGATTAAACGAATTTTGTACAAATAGCGATAAAATCAGTTTGGGTTGTGCCTAGTACATATTGTACGTATCAACATCCGCCACTGTTCCCGATCCTTTCATATACAGTAAACTACGGTTATAACGAACTCAAAGGGACTACTAATATTAGTTCGTTATAACCGTAGTTCGTTATAAGCATATATACAGAATAACTACAGCAAATAGTCGGGACCAAAAAGTAAGTTCGTTATATCCGTCACTTCGTTATAAGCGTGTTCGTTTTAACCGTAGTCTACAGTACTTAATCTGGTATGGCGTGTCAACTTAGTGTGAGTAGTATACATTGATTATTGGTATCAGACCTCCATATCCCATGTTACAGGTACCCCGACGCCCATGGTTGAATGCGTCAGAGGTACCAGCATCAGGATGCGTAATTTGAGAAAAATAGCATTCACAGCAACATTAAAGATTCAAGGGACACAAATGAAGGGTGAAGAAATATTTAGACTGCTATCGCATCAATCTTCACATAACGCTTCCATGGCAGCGGACAATCTACGACACACTTTATCACACATGTGTTCCAGTTAGAGCTTTATAATAGCCAACAATGATTGTTGGAGCTAAAGCTAAAAAAAAAACCTATCATTAAAAACAGCTCACGTTCTACTGATGGTACTTATTTCTGCCAGGCACTGTACTCTCTGTGAAACTGCACTACATAGCTCTCTTACTGATCAGATACATCGTGCTATCTCACTAGGTTATCAGCTGCGTTTCTCCCGTATACCTAGGTTACATCTGCGGTAAACAATATACCGCTGTATCATCAATGCATTAACACTGAAGAAAAAAAGTAGCTACCCTCAGAAAGACGCCGACTCCTGATAACGCAGGGTCACGTGACCTGACAGACTAACACAGACCTATATAGAATATACACAAACATTACACGTTGTCAAACGGGCCGGTGGAAATGAACATTTTCACTTTAAGATTTCACTTCACCCTTAAGGTAAACACTTAAATACGTCAACAGTAGTTGCGAACTCGGCGCAGGGTCCTGGCTATGTAACAGTGTGGGTGTCAAACACGACATAATATAGGTGTATACATACACTCAGACGTACGTTCTCAATTGACACGATGTTGTAGGGTAAATACGTATGTTCAGCTATGTCAGTTTTCATTTCAAATTCACTGCAAGCGTAGACTTCAGAACGTCTTTTAAGCACGGACAATGAAGCTCTTTCCGCCTTTCAGGAAAGGTTTGCATATTCCCATTGCAAGCCAAGTACACATGCTATACATACGGAATCTGTATTCTATGACAAACTTTCGCGAAAAGTTATTCATTATGGACGAAGGCATACACTTAATAACTTCACACAATACATGCCATAGAATGGATCCCTGATTCTTTAGCTTGACATTTTCTAGGCTGGTTCTGTATTGAAATCCTCCACCATAAAAATAGAATCTGTTTGAAAATTCTAATGCACCAACAAGTTCATCTGTCAAATTGTAGCCTACTATATAGTGGACGAATGGTAGCAGCGACCTTTAAATATTGCAGAGCGACAGACACAAGCACGGGGCAACAAAACCTACACCCCTAGGCGGGGCTAACGCGTCAGCATTCAGTAGAAAGCTAGATATTAAATTTACTTAAGCTGGGGGCCTGGTTCGACTGATGGAATGTTATCAATGTAAGTATTACAAAAAGCCTAACTCCCCAGGGTGAATTAACGGCATTGGGAGTCCCTCTAACATTCTGGTGGCAATTACCCCCAGGGAACCAGGGGCGGAGAGTTCTCACCCTCAACACAAATTGTCCTGATCCCACTAAATGTAGTCCCGATTATCCCGCACAAAGGAATGATGTGGTGTTGCGAAATTATTTGTTCTACACAATATTTGATTTGTATGTCTTTGTTATGTGAAGTACCCTCGACAGCTGCTGACAGTGCAGATATTGGGTCGAACAACTCAGAGGAAACAAGAGGGATCCCTGATCAAAGCCCGTGAAGTGTTGAAAATCTACAATCGGGTTAAAGCCTCAAGCAGCGATTTGTCTATCAATTCTTAAACACTCTCAACCTAGATCTATTTCTCAAAGCTAATTAAACGTCTCAACACAATAAACAAATGTAAAGTATAGCAAACATTTGATTACTACCTTATCAAGATTTATAACTCTAGACAAACAAACATCTGCATTGACTTCGAGTACATATGGCCCCTAAGAATACCATAAGACGAAAGATAAACCATCGTAAACAAATACGACTGACTGGGAATACGAGAGATTTATTTCCCACACTGACTAGACATTGTCAGCCAGAGGGACAGATCCTATTGTCTCAATCCTCACACGAGATAAAAACAATATGTTCATGGAAATTACCAGGGTAGATACTCTCATCGCTGATGTATGTCGCAAGCGTCCGTTCTTGTCAAAAAACATGAGGAGGTTAGGTCACGAGATAATTTATTAACACAGTTTTATCATGTAGGCGGTGCTACTTGAGTTAAGCAGTATTGTCGGTTAAACTATCTGCGATAGAGATATGTAAAGCAACTCGTCCAATTAGGAAAAGAAAAACTATTATTAAAACGATAAAAATATATAAATATAATATTTTTTATATATTTTTTTTGTATAAGTAAAGGTCATAAAAAAGTGTAGGAATCATTTTAAAAATCATTTTCAAGGGTATGTCATATGTAACAAGATCGTTGTAACTTTATGCTGAGCTTGTTGTGAGTTTATATGCACTTATCAAGTCAGTTTGTACATAACGTCAAATTTCATTCATGTCCTCAACAATACAGTTAACTGTTCTCGTCTACACTTGTGCTGTAATAAATTTGATTCTTTTCATATTCCATTTTTTATGCGACATAAACAGGCTGGTTAATTCAGACAACTGATTTATTATTCGAACTTCAGATATGACATTCAAAACATTTACGCGTCCTTGACCCGCCGAGAACCAATAGTGTTGCTCAAAGTCTGCAGCCAGTTGCTATCAGAAGGCCGTCAATGAACTTGGAGTGTTCGTCGACCAAACTTCTAATTGGATTTTAACACCCTGCCTTAGTGTGTGCATAATAGCGGTCAAGAACCCTGTCTACGGTGATACAAAAATGATTCCCGAGTGCTGGCGTCGACCATTTTTACAGTACAGTGTAAACTGGGGTATTACACACATGTACACTTTACAGACAGATGTTAAAAAGGCTGCGTTGGAAAGTTTGAAAGAAAAACTGAAGATGAATGGACAAGTGGGATTGAGCACGTGTTACCTCCATGGCGAGCTTATGGGGGACCTTGTCGTGATTCGTCAGCTTGTTGTACATTTGGGAGACAACTACAAGAGCACTTAAAATCACCTTCAAGCGAAACAAAAAGATTGAAAAGACGTGCTTTTCATCGTGGCAATCATTATTAACACGCGACTTACTCGGGGGGATTTCAAACGCCGGGGGCAAGGGCACCACGGGAGGGTTTAGCTTAATATTGGAAGATTACCGATTAAATCTCTAAACGCTAAACTTTGCCTTCCCGTTTTGTTAAGCTGTGGAGCTTGTCAAGTGTGTAAAACAATGGCCAGGATCGACCTTTGGAGCTTTCCCTGCGTTATTGCTGTCAAGGTCAACGTTTGTATTTGTAATTATAATTAATGAGCCAAAGTATGCCTCGGGCTACTGCAAGGACCCTACTGGTCAGTGCAAATGGTCATTTCAAATGCAGTCAAGCTGTTCTGATTTCAGCCACCCTGGAATGTCCCCGCCTCACTGATTACAAATTACTCCCCCGTGGGGGTCTGAATCACAGGGAGACATCTACAAACAAAGATGGACTGACGTCGCCGTCCCCTTGTCCATGAGTTTCACTTGATAACTTTTGAACTACATTTACGGTTAGTCTCTTTATGATTATTAAATAATAATAATAATAATAATAATCATCATCATCATCATCATCATCATATTAATAATAATAAATTATAATAAAAAATAAATTTCATCGTTACTCGATTATTTACAGACTGGCGTGATTCAGATTGAACATACTGCTGCGGCGTAACACATCATTCAATCACTCACTAACTCACCCACTCTGTATCCCTGTCACCTCAAGATCTCCCGAAGTTCAGATTTATGTCAAGGAGAGCTGTTTTAACAATCGGAACCGGAGCATTTGATTGCTCAGCAATTTTTTAACGAATTTCTTTTTGGCGAGTGCAGGTTCTAAGCAAACACCAGTCGATAAATGTTACATTTGGTTACATGTGCCCGTCAGGGGAGGCTACTCGAGTACATTTCGTCTGCTGTCATGGCTTAGTACGGGCTTGGTGTGGATCATAACGCTGCCGAATAAACGTTGCTCCAGCCTTGTACACGGAGCTACATGATACCACATATCACGATTAAGTCCCACACTTCTCTCAAAAGCCTAAACGTCAATTAAACTAGAGGCATTATCAACACTTACCCGTGCGAGGCGACACTCACACACTAATTAGTGCATAAGAGCAGTACAGTTGAAGCTGGAGATTCTGGCAGTATACCTAACGGTGGATGTTTACAGTGTGAGTGGCGGCACCCTGGCACCCGCTGTTTACCCGTGGATGGGGGAGGGGCGGGGAGGGTCATCGAGCCTTATGACAATATGACCGGGGTAGAGCGCTCACCCCTTTCTCACGCTGACGTTCTACCATAACACAGATAACGGCCGCCATTCGCCAGTCCCATCATATTGCAAGGTCTACAGTTTCGATGGCGCGGTAGAGGAACTGTTTGTTAACAGTGGTTAGTACACACGGTCTGTGACAAAGCAGTCGTGTTGGTATTGACCGCTTCATCACTATTAGTGTTTGTACTGGTTAATTACGTTGTATGAGTATCGTAACACGCTGGTCGCTACATTTCCTCTGTCAATATTTGCAAGACGTACTTCTTTCATAACCGGAAAAGCAGATTACCCGAATAATTATAGACTATAATTGAAGTAATTAGTTTCAGACTAAAATAATTCTTTTATATCAGTGTCAATAGCCTAAGGGGATTGTTCCTTGTATGCTTATCACATATATGACTCAATGGACTTGGTGTTCAAGCTTGTGCTGCTGTTTATGTAATTCTGTTCCACAAAATACACAAGCAATCACACTCTTAAACTTGACATTATTTCACCCATTGGAAGTTGCATAGCCGCTGGGCAGTTAGGTATTTACTAATTGTAATTAGTGCACATATAATCCTATGATTATATGGTGAACACATCTTGACAGCTTTGATTTTTTGCCAAAAAAAACAAAAAAAATCACATCTTTGTGTCATTTCCCGAGGTTTTCAATTTATTACTCTATCTTTTGTATAGATATTCCTTTAATGTATGACATAAACTGCTTACTTGTACAATGTTTCTGTAAACTATACGAACTTGGTTTTTTAGTTATTTCCCGATTTCAAAACAATAATTATTCCTGTGAGATAGTTCGAGACACTAGTAGTCGAAAATTCTCGACTCTAAGGTAGAGTAATTTGTTACTTACTGCGTTAACGCCTAGGATACTCAAGAGTATGATGAGCAGCAACGGCAACAACCTGAAACAGAGAATACAGCGTAAATATAACGTCAATTCAACGCTACAACGACAACACAGCGTCAATGGAACATTACAACGTCATATAAAGTCAATTGAACTTCAATACAGTGCCAATTCAACGTTTCAGCTTCAATACATCGTCGAGGTAACGTTAGAACGTCAATTCAGCATTACAACGTCAAAACAGCGTTAATTCATGACTACAAAGTCAAAGAGCGTCAATTCAACGTCACTACATGAATACGCCAAGAAAGCGTCAATTCAGCGTTATAACGTCAATTTAACGCTACGTGAAAAAACGTCAATTGAACGTCACCACATCAATACAATGTCAATACAGCGTCAAGTCTACGTTATTAAAACGTAAATACAACGCTCAGCAACAAACAGAAAATACCAATGCCAATGCAACATTTCATAAAATATAACGCCATGAAAACCATTCTACAAACGTCAAAACGTCTGAGTGAGTAAGTTCATTTCTACGACTCAAATAGCATAATTGCAGCATCATAGTGGCGCTATAACATGAACACCGGTACGCGGGCGATACAGCGAGATACAATGTCAGTAAACAGAGTAGAACATACAAATATATCAGTGTTGACACCAAAAAGAAATTACATCAAAATACTGAGTCAAGGTCATGTGAGCGGCATAATCGCCGTCGCTAATTTGAATACAAATCATGACTACGGGAAATGTCGTTATCTAATAGGTTAATTCACACGTATATTTAGGTACCTGTATTGATGTGAACATCTCAAACTGGTTTGTACAGAAAGAAAAAAAAATGCGGATTTCAATATGTTTGTGCTTATTTTTTGAAGCGTGAAGTACAGTTGCATATGGACTAAGAAGACACTAAGTGCACCTACTAACATGCAACATTAGTGAAATACAACCATTAAATGTATGCAACACTGAACAGAAATAGAACTCTTACCAAAAAAGAGTCACATTGTTGGTTTTGACGCGTTCGCCATAAAGACAAACGGACGGTGAATAATAGTACAGGTCTTAACTTAATATGCATAGTAAAGGTGCACGTTGTTCGTAACGCTTTCGAAACATATTGTAAAGGATGCGTGTATGAGCACCTCCTTATAAGTTACAGTAAGATTGTTGAACTGTAAACACATTACACAGCTAAATGATCAGACCAATGGCGGTTTGTTCTGACAGTTCTTAGACAGGTTCTACGCGGGATCAACTCCTGTTTGTTGTCAGTAATGCTCTAAGCACGTAAAGATGACCGTCGCGCAGTCGACACGACCCCGGCAGACTGTCGGACCAAGGCGACAAACAGCCCGCTGACCGAGGGTCGAACCCGGTCACAGAGTGCACCAACTCTGTCAGCCGTCGGTTGACCTACAGAAACCTAACGAACTGAAGAAACACTACAATTCTCGCGGTCAAATATACGTAGCCACAGAGAAAAAATATCGTCTTAGATGATGGCTAATTAGTAAATGTCGACGCACATCAAAGAAGGACTTAATCACTTGTCTGGTGTCCGTTGTAACAAGCCATACCGATCGCTCCCTCAAATATTTGATTAAACCGCCAGACTAGCGGCCAGCCTACGGCTCTCCCACCTTGGTCCTGCCACAGAGAAAAATAAAAAAATACCCTATTTAGTTTTACATTGCTCAATAACAAGTGCATCCTTCTCCACGCTCACATAGCGAAACATCGCCACAATTTTCATTTTCTTGCTATACATTACAGAGGAGGGGGTTGGTGGGGGGTGAAATTGTTTAAGGGGCCGGTGTGTGGAGAGAACGTTAAGCCGTTCCCGAAGACGCGTTCAATAAGACAAGAGAGACGCGTTGCCTTATCGAGTGACCAGTCAGGTGATTTCGATGTAAAACATTTTTTTTTCAGTTAATAATTTGAAATATCTGTAAATCCTTGAGGCGTGTTTATATGTCGGCAGGTTCGGGATTGTGAGGAGGAGAGATGTATAGAAAGTATAGTCTGTGATGACAAGGCAGCTATCCTTCTCGTCATTCACAACCAGTCGTGTGCAGCCGGCCTATTTTGCAAGCCGGCCTCGCTAGACAAAGCTAAGTCTCATTACTGCATTCATATCGGGGAACCGCCTGTTTCGTAAAAGCAATAAATCTCAATGACGCGCAGTCCTGTGCATACCTCAAAGCTCATGCACGTGGTAGAAGATTTGAAATAACTTCTCCCCTCTCCGCTGAGAGTTAAACACGAAGACAGGGTTGTTACTGCCCACCTATGTTTGGCCCATATGGCATTGTTTGCATGCTTCAAGTAACCCCACACAGTTGACACAAGATTTTCCCCGACATAATTTTCTTTTTTTTTCTCCGAGCGTCCTATTTTCAGCTATAGCCTTGCTCGTCACGGCAGAGAACGCCGTTTGTGGAAGCGGCAACAACAACTGTCAGTGACGCGACGTCGTGGTAGTATCTCAGCGTGGTCTGTTTCAGCCAATGTCTGATACAGATGCAGCAGGGAGGTGCTGTGTATGTCACAAGTTTTATAGTTGTGTCGGGCCCTACGTATGGCTCAGTTTGCACTATCAGCAATCACAATGACATCTGAAACTTTGTAAACCCACATTTAATGATTGTTCGTGTGCGCGGTAGCCGGAGACCAACAAATATTTATGACAAAGTAATCACTACTCTACATGGTCCGGGCATGTATATACAAATAAGACGTGGAGAACATACAAATTGATGTACATTCATCTGTATGTCATGGTATGCAAAACGCTTATCATGCACATAAGCGTGCCGTCAACAGCTACCATAATAAATATTATATTCATTGAAACCCCGTTAATACGGACAATATTTTCCCAGTACAATCGCCCGGATTAACGAACTTCCAGAAACGGGGACACACGTCTCATTTATCACACTGACGGTTCCACCAGTAAAGGTGACGTCTCCAGAATAACAAAGTCCGGTTTAACAGGGTTTCATCGTACATTATTACATAGTAAGGATAAGATATATGGATGAAAAACTTCTTTATTACAATCAGGAGCGGTGTAGGTTCTAACACCCTTATCAAGCAAATGATGTTGTCTACCCATATGTCTTATCCGTATTTAGCACTCTAACCTCTAAAAGCCTCTAAAAAAGACATTATTACATGCACGAAATAATTTTTTTTTTCATGTACCATATTGTATCCTGATCCTAAAAATAATTTGTATTATATACATATTGACTATTGTATAAATATGTTTATTCGTTTTGCATAACCAACATTGTAATTATTTACTTCTGGGAAATAAAGAAATTCATTGAGAAATGTAAACCGGATGCGTCTAAATTCAACACATCCAAACAGGAAGTACTAGAGATACCTGGTAATTTAAGTCGTAATTTTTATACCAGTGACACGAGATGAAGTTACTTGACTGCATAACCTAAATGTGACAACGATCTGCGATCTGTGATATGTGATCTGTGATGCAAGCTTATTGCACGGAGGTCCTGTTGGCCTCTCTGGTCGTGTGCTAGCTCCAACAATGAAGCCGCGGTTTAGATTAAACATTCCTCTTATACCGTTGAACACCTTCAACGTGGAACTATATATAATCTATGTATCTAGAAGTTGTCCTGTACCGCAGCAATCGGTATGGCTGTACATTAAGCTCTCTTTATTCCTATATAACATATCTCGGACCAAGACTTTCAATTACGAGGGTAAATAGTCAAACCTGCTGTGTCAGCGTTATGAAATAACAACCAAAGTATGTCATAATGAGTGCGCGAAAGTGGTCGTGATTCCCTGTTATCGGGGTCAGTTATGTTTTGCTGTGAACTCATAGTTATCTAGTATTTACAACATGCTCAGCTTTCTACGTATTCGCGCTTTAACCCGCTATTGCCGTACGCTACGTGCTCGCATTCTGTTATCATGAATTTACGTACAGTACGGGCGAAGGCGCCATGCTGCTGCTGTCAATGACCTCAGTAAATTATTACATACACCTGAATAAGGGGGCAGTTGGGTAGCCGAGTGGTCCACGCGTTCGCTCGAAAAGCAGAGATCACGGTTCGAATCCCAAACTTGTACTTCATATGGTCTGTATCTGGTCCCCCGACGCGATACTACTAGAATATTCTTAAACATGTACACTTATGAACGGAATAAACGTTCTTCATCAATATCAGAATTTATAGAAACATTTTTTCTTTGTTTGAAAGCAATACGCAACATTTGGACGGGCCGTGGAACGAGTATTGATCTACACGTGCTGCTGGCGGAGGTTGTTTTCGAGGCACGGGCGGGATTTCCCAAGTGTGGGCGTTCCGGCTTCGCCACAGGTGTGTTAATCCTTCTGACTTGAGCGTCTCTTCAACCAAGGTGTGAAGTAGCTGTACCAGACGGCTGTGTCTGCCATGTACGTGTGTGTGTGTGTGTGTGTGTGTGTGGTTGTGTGGGTATGTGTGTGTGTGCACTACATTGCGTATGCGGGGGCGAGACCCCGTAACGAGCCGAGTTTGTTGTGTCTGCGGTTTGACTCCCTGCCCTGTGTGCCAATAGGTGGGACGCCCACTTCCGTAGACACACAAAATCTGATTTATCGGCGAAATGAATCTTTTATACACAAACGCCAACGTGATGTAAATTATGTAGGTTTTGCGAGAAGGTCACACGGGGTTTTAGCACATTAGCGGTTGTTTGCCCTTGCTCCAGGAGGACACGGTGATCTTAGTAATACGTTTCACAAAAAAACATCGCCTCTCTTTACTCGGCTAACAGAACCGTATAACAACAGAACAATTGTCATAGGAACACCGGACATCTCTACAACCAAAATATTTAAGAAAATAATAACAATAATACAAATAGAACCTCGTTAATCCGGACCCCGCTAAGCCGGACACCCAACCTCCTGGACAGTACTGCCAGGAACGCATGTTCCAAACGTACGTTAATTCATACCATTGACTCGTTAATCAGGACGATCACAGATGGTAGTCCGGATTAACGAGGTTCCACTGTCCTTAATTCTGTCACGCGATATGACGGGCTGCTACTGTGGGGTAGCCCAACGGACAGTAGCCTAGTTACTCTATCAGTTTGGTTGTGTGTGGCCACTAATTGACACTAAACACTACAGTTAAACTTGATTGTTTCTAGAATGCCAAGGCACATGGGGCGAGCTCTCTGAACGTGCCTCGTCGTCGCTGACGCCTCCACGACACACGGAGGCCAGGGCTCCCCTCTTCCTTCTTTAGAAAATACCTGGCCACGTCACCCTAAAAAGAAAGGTCTACAATTGCCTACAGTTAACATAACCCTAACAGTGTATAGCCACTAGCACCGAGTCACTCCTTCCTAAAGTTGAACGAGTGATGGCGAATTTTTATTGATTTTTAACGTTTAAATAGTCAGTGTCTTCAGGATGTACCTATATCCTATTCGCCTTTTTTTTATCTACCGCAGTATTGTTTCAAGGTGATGCAGAGTAAATCCTAAAGATGAAAGTTGCTGTGAAGAATCCCATCAGAGTCATGATGCATCTACCTGTGCAGGTGAACACTGATTGATATTCCGCCCACAGGTAAAAAGACCAGGCACCGGCATACGCGCACTTACATTGCACATCTTAAACTCAGTCGCATACGTGGGCTGCCTCGCCAACCCAACACAGTTACATAACATGTGCTCATTGGCTGCTCTCTAACCATCATTGTTCCAAAGGGTTTTGTGCTGTTCATCATGATTGTTACCTGGTACAGCAGATGAATGATTTTAAAGCATTATTGTGAAAAGATTTTATCATGCCATCATGATTTTATTACCTTCATCTTCTCTTCATTCGTGGCATTTGAATTAAAATACAACGAAACGCGGTCTCATTATTTGTTCACCGTTCACCTGGTTTGTCGCTTGTTACGCTAGCGTAAGAAATACACACTGCCTGATCGACATTAAAGCAACCCAATCTGTCGTGGTTCTGACCTATACCGACGCATCCATGTCAAGAACATAAAATAATCACGAACTGGCACTCAAGATTTCAAAACAACACGAGCAGTTCTCGGGTGTGTGTCAGCCCTAGGCAGCTGTTAAGGCATAAACTATATGCACACATAGATATCTACGCTGGAACGTTTGTGTATATGTTCGTATAAAAAAAATATATGTCCTACTGGTACCCGTATAGTCTAATAGGTAAGGAATATATTTGTCATGCAGTCAACCGGGTTTTCCAAAATAATTATATTTGATAGTCCTATTCTGTGTAAAACACGTGATGTGCAGAAATACTGCTAAATACGACACATTTACTCACTCATTCACTCGTGGTTATACATTTTGAGGGGAAACAGCGGTAGGATTTCCCCCGCGCTAGACGTTAACGCTGAGATCGTGCCTGCCTTAGATTGCAGCTAATGTAATGACACACATCGTGAATTTGAGACGGGTTAAACTGAGGCTTTATAAAGCCTCGTCGCATTCTCAATGACGGCAATCCATTGCACTAAATACTCTATGTGTTACAGTATCGGCAATGTACACCTGTAATCAGTTCTGGCTTTCATCCTCTCACCTGCCCTTCAACATCTTGTTAATATTAAATCCAGGTAAGCTAGCCCACCTGTCGTAGGGAAAATTGTAAATCGTCTATCTATATTGTAAGAGAAGTGTACTTGGGTCGCATACATGTTGACGTCGTTGCTTTGCTGTTGTAGCCGTCACAGGTGTCGGGTGCTTGTGTAATCTATCAGTGATTTGTAGTTCGGGGATATTGATACGACCTGTGTTGTCGATACCTACTCAACTTATATATAAATAACTAGGATATGATAATGATCAAGGTTATTTAATTTATGTAACTAGGTCGAATCAAGATGTGATGATACCTCTCTCAAGATTACGTGTCTCAAATAAGGGGAAAAGGTCGATTGAGATTATCAACCTAACCTCAGCGTAGCCCTATCGCTCGACACTACAGGTCTCAATTAAACGAAGGTACATTTGCCCACGGCAGATGGTTTAAATACTTTTAAAAACTTTAGCTTCCGTCGCCTACATGCGGCGCACGTTAGTGTCAATGGGCATGATAGATGCTCTAATTCTGATGGTTATATAACGACAGGCTTTCATCGTGAAGGAAAGACTTCCATTGTCTTAGAAAAAAACAACCAGTATAATACTAATTCATCTTCATGGGGATTTTGACATCTTATGGGTTTTTCTTTGATAATTAATTGGATCAAAAAGTAATGAAATAATTCAAGCATGCATCCACTACATAACTGACAAAACACTTCTCAATTAACATGATGAATATGTCAGGCAGACCTATCACTTATTCAAATCACGTCAAGATGGTTTTCCGGCGTTATGTATGCTACAATGTTACAGGATAGCTCATTTAACATCGATTCTCTGGATGGTGTTGCGAAGACTCTCAACAGCGCCCCCTATACGAACACTACTTCTCCTCGCTAAATATGTTCCCTACCAACAAACATCTCATTCACATCCGAAAAAAGTCGATGCTTACTTGAAGACGGAGTACAGGGTCGAAGCGAACAAGGGCTCCGTCCTGTGTTGTCAGCAGATTTGGGTCTAAGGTCGACTGTGAAGTTTAACTTCAAGTCTCACAATAAATCCACAGTATCAACGAAGTCAACTAACGTTTTTTTGGTTCGATTTGTCCTTGTAAATTTGTTAATACACAAAGTGCTAATTCTACAAACATATTTCAACAGGAATAATATTGAAATTTCTTTTTCGGATATCAAATTTGTTAGAATACAACGAATATAATTAAAATACACTTAACCCGCGTAAATATTGGGGTAGTGGCAATATGAGGGGTGAAGGAGGGAGGGGGGCATTGCATGACGAGCGTCCGAGCGGGCCGGGGACATAGCCGGCCGGAAAACTACTATGGTTGATATGCCTAAATTCAGTTACATGCTTCCCAAGCACGTCACCCACATGCCGTCTCGCAGTAAAGGGGGGACGCGAAAATAACACTGTGAGTCCCATGTCTGTGTCGGCCCACGGACTGGCTTGAAGGCGTGGTTTTATGCCGTGGGAGGCTGGAAATAGAGGGTTTGGGTCCGTGTAGGATTGAACTTACCTGCATGGGCTAAATTCCCAGGAAACAGCGCCTGTCCTCATACTTTGCCAACACCCTGGGCGAATTGGACGCTCGCTTCCATTCTAAGTGTCACATTCACACACCTGGGGTACACAACTTGCCTTCCATCGGAATATTGAATAGAAATCCACTTTCACGAGTAACTGGTGTTTAAAATAAGCCCAAACACTGTCGAGCCAACCACACAAATCCCACTATCCAACACAACAAGTTGAAATCGGATGGACAAAAACACTTTTTTTTACACACTGAAAGGTTTTACACAAGAGATTCTAACTCCTTAAAAAATCTCACTTGTCTCATAAAAAATGAGCCTTGATTAGTAAAGTTGTTTTCCAATCATGTGCTCGTATCCCAAAAAATCGATGAAAACAACACAAGATATCCATTTAAAACACAAACACAAGAAGTCCTGTTATAGAGGTATCCACACTGGTCTCCCGCTAACCCGTCTGAAGGCAGTAGAGTTTGCAGGCGGGCCGAGGGGGTGGGGAATCGGTCCCGGGGGGTGGGGTATCGCACCCTGCAGCTATGGCCGGACACGCTCTGTGGGGGGCGGGTGGTACCCACATCGAGCTCCGCTAGTCCCCCCTACTCTCGGGTACACGTGGGTAGCTAGACACCATCCTGGCTTGAATCGGTAAATAAAACACGTGCCTCCGAATTCCAATTTAAATTCACTTTTACAAAAACACACAATTTAATATGAAGTTCGAAATCAGGTAGTCCGTAGCGAGTGAAAGGCGAACCGAAAATCGATCCGGCAGAGTCGCCCTTGTCCTTAGCTGTGTCAGTCATACAGTGAAGTGAGATTGGTTGGTGTGGGGAGAGGCAGCCTGCTTGCCTGTAGGCTGTAGCGAGAAGCTAGCCGACGTACCGCGGTCCTCCCTCCCGCAACGGATGGCTGGCCGAGTCTCTCTTCCCTTCCAGCTCTCCTCTGATTGGACAGAGCGGGAGACAATAGCGGTCGAGAATACACTGTTGTCAACTCAGGCCGATGAGGTCGGGATGAGAAATACAAGTGTCGCAACTTCCCTCTGTCCCAATAAACCTTACAAATTTCTCCACAGTTAGCTAAAATTTACTCAGGGAACTTTAACAAGATCATCCTGTTCTCACACCTGAAACTGGAACACCTGAGGCCGGCCCCCCAAAATAAACGAGGACAGACTTGATCGGCGCGCTGTGTCTGTGTAAACTAACGGCGAAAAAAACTGACTCCGGGACGCAATGCGAGGTAAATATAGTTTGTGTGACTGGGCGACTGTGTGACAGGGAAGCGTATACCGAAGACCAGTGAATGAATAAAGCCGACAAGCGGGCGATCACCTCGACAAGAGGCCACAGCCCGCCGTCACACGGTATTCGTTATCACCGAGACGGCAAGAATTACCTCCCCTTACCTATAAGCCCGCGGCCCTCATCACACCTGCCGGACAAGATTAGCATTTTAATGGGTATACCTGACATCGTGGCCACTGGAGGGGGGTAATGAATAGAATCACATAAAATAATCTGACAACTTGAGAAATTATTTCGTACCTCTGTTGTGGTTTTAAGTTGTCATGCTTTATGAATTTGGGTGTACAGTAAGACGTCACAGAATCGCTGTAAGAATGTACTAGCAGTAAGAAGGGTTGCTCACTTATGTTTTAAAAGAGAATTTGAAAGATATCCTACTTGTTTAATGAGCATCCTTGACTTGCTTACCACCTGTCGGACATGTCATCGTTGAAGGTGGCCAACGCTCTGGGTGGGTGTTATTTGCTGGGGGATGAGCTGTGCACTAAGCATGGCAGAAAACGTCTTGTGATTTAATCAGTCACATTTCTCACACTGTATTTCACTCTCGAGCGAGTCACTCGCCCTAGGCTGGTATTATGATATCTTATCCAACTAATCCAACCCACAGTGACCCTTGCTACAATCCTTGAAATACCATCTGAGTATATTTTATTTCCCTGTAACAGTTCCAGCCGTTATGCTCCTATTGAACAGATTCTATCAGCGACCATAGACATCTGAGCTTACTGCACCTTATAGTTTCGAATAAAAACTATCTTAGTCGCTAGGGAAACATGGCAGCGACCTTCGACGTTAGAGATACAGTGCATCATGACAGTTTCGACAGAGGGTTGCTTCACCTCGGCGTAGCATGGACATTTGACGTTAGAGCTACGATGACTTGACAGTTTCGAACAGCGACCTTGGTGGTCGCTACACCACAACACAGCAGCGACCTTAGACGTTAGAGCTACGCTGCAACGAGACGGTATCGACAGGCGATCTAAGTGGTTGCTTCACTGCGTCATAGCAGCGACCTTAGACGCTAGAGCTAAGCTGCAACGTGACGGTATCGACAGGCGATGTAAGTGGTTGCTTCACTGCGTCATAGCAGCGACCTTAGACGTTAGAGCTACGCTGCAACGTGACGGTATCGACAGGCGATCTAAGTGGTTCCTTCACTGCGTCATAGCAGCGACCTTAGACGTTAGAGCTACGCTGCAACGACAAGCGATCTAAGTGGACGCTTCACTGCGTCAAAGCAGCGACCATAGACGTTAGAGTTACGGTGCTATATGACAGTTTGGACAATCGACCTTAGACGTTAGAGTTACGGTGCTATGTGACGGTAACGACAATCGACCTTAGACGTTAGAGTAACGGTGCTATATGACAGTTTGGACAATCGACTTTAGACGTTAGAGCTACGGTGCTATAGGACGTTATCGACAATCGACCTTAGACGTTTGATTTACGTTGCTATATGGCGGTATCGACAAGCGACCTTAGATGTTAAAGCTACGATGCTATAGGACGGTAACGACAAGCGACCTTAGTGCTTGCTACGCCATGAGATGGTAGCCATCTGAGACGTTGGGGCTACTCTGCAACATGACAGATTCGACAAGCTATTTCAGTCGCTTGAGCAACATTATGGTTATTTAAAAAGCAAGGACCCGTGTTTAGTGTTTAGATATCAGCAACATGTTGATGCTGGCGGCAACTTAAGTCATTACAACCTCACTACAACCTATCAAGGCGGTTTCTCATTGCAATGTCAGACAGGGCATGCTACACTGCAACATGGCATCTCACCCAACTGCATCACCTCAACCGTGCTTCCCTGCTACGACGATGTCCGTTACGCAGACAGATCTGTTGATTTAGATCAGGGCCACAGAAGAGAAATCACTCGACCACTGTCCATCAGGATTCATGGCTTAGCCTTTCAGAAACTATTTATGAACACTTCGGTATTGGGAACTGACTGGTCCTGTGAAGTCGATAAATCTGATCCTGGTATTGTTAACTGACAATAACCACTGACTGTCTCTGAGACCGGGCGGGGGTGTATGAGGGGATCCCTGGCTATTAACGTAACGCTGTTGTTGTGATGCGACCGAGCATACAGGGTGTTTAAGGAGGTGTTGAGATGCTCTTAGGAAAGTTGAAGTGGTCAGTGATGGCTGACAGATGCCTCTTAACTGCAGTTGGTAGTAGTTCGCTATGTACTGTTAAAGCTGGAGAAGGAGCGAGAGTTTGCAGTCACATCAAATTTAATTCATTGACCGTTGATCATCGTCCCCCTTTAAGTAAGTGCATAATGTCATGTTTATTAATGCGCCGTCCCCGGGATATGATTCTCATTAACTTCATTTGTTTGCGCCCTTCCATTATAGTCGAGATCGGGTTGCACATTCCCATGAACTGGGGGCTGACTTGAGCTGCAGACCCTCATTGCCATGTGGTCTCGAGTTAGCTGCAGACCCTTGTAGCCGGCCGGTCAATCACCTATATCACCTGTAGGTCGAGATTGAATTGCCAGCCATCATGTACAGGCCAAGGTTGAGTTGCAGAGCATAGTCTACAGGTCGGGATTGAGTTGCCAGCCGTCATCTATATGTCGAGATTGAGTTGCCAGCCATCATCTGTATGTCGAGATTGAGTTGCCAGACATCATCTATATGTCGAGATTGAGTTGCCAGCCATCGTCTACATGTCGAGATTGAGTTGCTAGCCATCATCTATAGGTCGAGATTGAGTTGCCAGCCATCATCTATATGTCGAGATTGAGTTGCCAGCCTTCATGTACATGTCGAGATTGAGTTGCCAGCCATCATCTATATGTCGGGATTGAGTTGCCAGCCATCATCTATAGGTCGAGATTGAGTTGCCAGCCATCATGTACAGGTCGCGATTGAGTTCCAGACAACCGTCTATATGTCGAGATTGCGTTGCAATCCATTATCTTCAGGTCGAGACCGAGATGCAAACAATCATCTCTACGTCGAGATTGAGTTGCCAGCCATCATCTTCAGGTCGAGATTGAGTTGCCACCTCTCGTTGTCATGGCTGGGCGTCTGACTGTGATGGTTCCAATCCCAACAGAGTACCGCCTCAATAGCAAGACGTGGTTGTCACAGATTGTCAGTGGAATATTGATGGCAGGTATAAACAATGATGGCAGGTTGAGATAACGGACATCACCAGTTCAGACGTTGTAGCTACACAAAGCTGGAGTCGAACATATTAATATCACACGAAAGGACATATTAATATCACACGAAAGGACATATTAATATCACACGAACTTTTTCAAGGAATCCATGACACAGTCCCACCCAACAATGTACACAGTTTCATTTACCTAGACTTTATAACATCGACCATTGTGCAACAAACTGAATGCACCAAAACTATATATCACCAGTACAAACCAAAACAAAATATGAATTGTGAAATGAATGCCTTTAATCTCTCTGTAACAGCAAATGACTATGGTTTTACGCCGCTTTTACTAATGGAACTTATTATCATGATTATTATCATGATTACACAGTACCATCGACACGGAAAACAGACATCTGTCCACGCATGGCAATACATCGTTGCTACAGAGACAGTTTGTGAAGCCCATTTCTGGTGTCCCCCGCCGTGATATTGGTGGCATGTAACAACAGAAGTTCCTCTTTACGGTATAACGGTCGTATGCCGACTAATAATGAGTAGAAGGGCCTAGTGGGTAATGAGGGAGACTTTCCCCCATGTATCAGCTAACATGAGGGTCATCAATCTCTTCATCCCAAATAATCCGTGTTCATCCGCTTACCGGGTGCAGTGTCTCAATAAACAATAATCATCTATTATTGTCGTGATACAGACGGTGATCCCCGCGACTGACCATGGCTATTAATTAAAATAACCATAAAGAATCAAAGGCCAGGTCAAAATGAATGACTTCGATCAATTTGTGAAGAGAGTCGTTATTGTAGTTTCTGCGATGAAGTAGAACCACCTATTCCATGGTATGTGTATTTCGTATATGATCATATGTTTACACGTGTAACCTGTATGTAGATAGCTTCATACGTGTATTCTGAATATGAACAGCTTCACACGTGTATTCTGTATATTTATACAGCTTCACACGTGTATTCTGTATATTTATACAGCTTCACACGTGTATTCTGTAAGTAAACAGCTTCACACGTGTATTCTGTATGTAAACAGCTTCACACGTGTATTTTGTATAATATTATTTATACAGCTTCACACGTGTATTCTGTAAGTAAACTGCTTCACACATTTATTCTGTATGTAAACAACTTCGTACGTGTAGTCTGTATGTAAACAGCTTTGCACGTGTAATCTGTATGTAAATAGCTTCATACGTGTATTCTGTACTATGTAAACAGCTTCACACTTGTATTCTGTATATTATGTAAACAGCTTCACATAATTATGTATTCTGTATATCTATACAGCTTCACACGTGTATTCTGTAAGTAAACAGCTTCACACGTGTAGTCTGTATGTAAACAGCTTTGCACGTGTATTCTGTATGTAAACAGTTTCACACGTGTATTCTGTACGTAAACATCTTCACGCGTGTGTACTCTATGTAAACAGCTTCACACGTGTATTCTGCATGTGTATACAACTTCACACGTGTATTATGTTTATGTAAACAGATTTAAACTTGTATTCTGTATGTACAAACAGTTATACACGCGCACTTTGCAAACTAGAAAATGAGCGTCAGGACAGTGACTCCCTCCACCCTAACATTGGGGCGTGGTCTGCTTTCGTACAATCTTCTAATAGCACGTATTGGCTGACAGAGCACAGTATCAATACATCGCCGGACTACCCGTCGTGGACTCCCAACTGAGACAAACGTTACAAGTCCAACAATCACCTTTTCTC